GGTTGTTTACCAAGATGTCCATTTCAAATCCCCTTTGCAAGAATGTGTTTTATGTTTCTTAAATCTTTTTGTTTCCATCTGGTGGTCGCATGGGTAAGGAGTTATGCTACCAATTCAAAGACTGACAGTTTGAATGCACCAGCTGTTCCATGAGAGAAAAATGGGCAAACTCCTCTCACATAATTTACAGCCTGTAAAATTTGCTGGCAGATCTGCTATGTGTTGGTTCCAACTCTTTGGAAATAACAAAGATGTGTGCTTTTTTTGTAGTAGTAACAGAACATATTTGTTTTGTTCAAAGTAAACAAAGGTATATAAAACAAAAGTAGTGTATTAAAAAATGCTGCCATCTTGTAGATCAGTGCTCATAGCAGCATTATTCACCATCACAAGAATATGGAAAACAGCCCAAATGTACAACCACAACAAATGGATTGAGAAATTATGGTACATTCACACAATGGAATACTATGCAGTACACAGGAGAATGATTTTGTAAATTATTACCTAACTTGGGAGGGACTGGAAAGCATTATGCTGAGTGAACTAATTCAGTCCCACAAGGATAAATATTATATAAATTCATTATTGTACAATGAGTATAAGGATCCAAGAGGGGTCAGAGAGGTTGGAAGCAGGATGAGGATATGCATGGGGAAGGAAGGGATTAATCACAGGGTTGTACAATTTGATGGGTGACAGGTGAGGGAAATGAAATGAATTTGTTCTTGAAAACAATGTATTCAAATTTTGTAAATAAACTAGAAAAAAAATTTAAAAACAAAACAAAACCTCCACAATAAGCCATTCAAATCCCGAAGTAGTGGAAATCACTAAAATAACAGAATTCAATGGATAGATTGGAGGGAGGAGGTGAAGAAAAGGAAAGATTCAATGGGGCTTTGAAGGGATGGTGTAATAGTAGAAACAGACCAATGATAATTATCCTCTCCAATATTTATTACATGCTGCACTGTTGAACTTTGCCATTGTTGCTGGGGTGAGATGGTCCTCATTGTCATTTTGATTTGCCAGGAATGTATCTTTAGAAAAAAAAAAAGCACACTGCCATCAAGTCAACTCTGACTCATAGCAATGACGAAGGAGAGATCAGGAGGGGGGCAGCTCATAGTTTCTAAGGGTACAAATCTTTATAGAAGCCGCCACTCCTGCATTATCAGCTAGTGGGTTCTTATCACCAACCTTTTAGTTAGTAGCCAAATTCTTTTTTATTATTAATATCAATTTTAATGAAAATTTACAGACTTTGGATTTCCATTCATTCACTGTTGCAATTTTCTCCCTGCCCACCCCTCCCCCCAGTTCACTCTTCTCTTTGAAAAGTTAAAAAAATTCTTTCTTTGTTATACAATCCCTCTCCCAAGTCCACTTCACTATGCAGCCTTCGTTCTGGATTCATGTCATGACAATAATACCTAAGCATATATCCCTTTTAAACAGCTCTCTCCCTCATCTGTTTCAATGCAGTATAATTTATCTCATTTCTGTTTCCCCCAACCCCGATGTCATTCCCGTTTTACGACAGTAGCAGCCAAATTCTTTAGCCACTTAATCAGTAGCACTTTTTAAAATCAGGAATAAGGAATTTCTTCCTTAACATAAATTTTATGAAATGATGGAAATCTGTCTATTTTATCTCTCTAACGTTGTTATTATTATGTGTCATCAAATAACTTATCACTCATAGTGACCCTGTGTACAACAGCTCTGAACCCTGCTCTATCCTGAGCCAACCTTATTGTCTCTGACACTCCTACCCACATTACCCCAGTCACTGAATCAGTCGATCTCATAGAGGGTCTTCCTCTCCTGTGCTGTCCCCCCACCCTCCCAAGCATGATGTCCCTCTCCAAGGACTGGTCTCTCCTTGGAACATGCCATTATTACACCTAGGTGGTTCCTATCAGGAATAACTTCCTCTGATTTCAGAGACAATAAGCCCCTGGGCAGTCCAGTCTTTCCTGGAATAGGCCATATTGGGAAAAAGCTGGTCTCAGAAATATCACTCAAGTGCTCAAAATTAGTATTTAGAATGTATTTTCCTTTTAAAAAATGTTAGAGTAAGACAGTTGTTGTTGTGTGCCATCGAGTCGCTTGCGACTCATAGTGACCCTATGTACATCTCTAAACTCTGTTCTGCCCTGTGCCAATCACACCGTCTCTGACACACCCATCCCGATTACCGCAGTCACTGAATCAATCCACCTCATAGGGGGCCTTCCCCTTCTGTGCTGTCCCTCCACCCTACCAAGCATGATGTCCCTCTCCAAGGACCTGTCCCTCCTTGCAACATGTCCAAAGTATGTTAGACGGAGCCTCAGAATCCTTGCCTCCAAGGAGCAGCCCGCTTTGACCCTTTCCAGGACAAATTTGTTTATTTTCCTAGCAGACCATGGTACCCTCAATGCTCTTCTCCAGCACCACAGCTCAAAGGCATCAATTCTCCTTCTATCTTCCTTAGTCATTGTCCAACTCTTTGATGCATAACAAGCGATAGCAAAGACCATGACCTGTATCAGATGCACCTTAGTCTCCAAAGAGACACCATTGCTCTTCAGTACTTTGGAGAGGTCCCTAACAGCAGACTTTCCTAGGGCAATGTGCCTTTTAAATTCCTGGCTGCTGGTACCGAGAGTGTTGACTGTGGAGCCAAGCAAACTAAAGCTGTGAACAATCTCAATCTCTTCACCATCCATCCTGATGCTCAAATTGGCCCAGTGGTGAGAATCTTTGTCTTCTTGACATTGAGCCTCAATCCATATTGGAGGCTGCAGTCCTTGACCCTCTGCAGCAAGCACTTCAGGTCCTCCTCAGTTTCAGCAAGCAGGGTTGTATCATCTGCATATCGCAGATTGTTGATAGATCTTTCACCAATCTTGACCCCACATTTCTCCTCATAGAGCCCAGCCTCCCGGATAATCTGTTCTGCATACAAGTTGAGAAGGTATGGAGACAGGACACATCCCTGGCGTATGCCCTTCCCAATTTTGAACATGTAGTGTGTTTCCTTGTTCTGTTCTGACGACTGCCTCTTGGTCCCAGTAGAGGTTTCTCATTAACACGATCAAGAGTTCTGGTATTCCCATTCTTCTCAGAGTCAGCCACAGTTTGTTATGATCCACACAGTCAAACGCCTTTGCATAGTCAATGAAACACAGATAGACATTCCTCTGGTACTCCCTGCCTTCAGCTAAGATCCATCTAACACTAGCTACAATATCCCTAGAAGTAAGACAGTAGAAAATTAAAATATTTCGGCGCAGGAGAGGAAGGCCCTCTATGAGGGCGATTGATTCAGTGACTGGGATAATTGGGATGGGAGTGTCAAAGACAGTGCGATCGGCACAGGACAGAGCGGAGTTTAGGGCTGTTGTACATAGGGTCGCTATGAGTCGCAGGCGAATCGACGGCACATAACAACAACAACAACAACTAAAACAGAGAAATATTTTAACCTTTTTAAAAGAAAACCCTCAAACGCACTTCCCTTTAAGTCTGAAATCAACCCACAGCTGATCCTCCAATGCATGGGTTCAGATACACTGTAAATTGCATGATAAAAGACTGCCCATCTTTCTCACAGAGCAGCTCATGGTTTGGCCTTTGGGTTGATGGGTAACTCCTTAACCTGCTAGGTCATAAGTACATATTAAAAATGAAAACCTCCTAGAGTTGGAAGCAACTGCCTCTAGGGAAAACGAAAACCACATGCAAGGAGAGATTACAGACTAGGGACTATTAATCTTTGTAGTTTTATAACAGCATTTGATTATTTTAAAACTGCATACATGTATTTTATATAATTCAATAACAATTTTTATAATAAATAAAACTAAAATGGAGATGGAAATAGAATAAAGTAAACAAGTTCATGGAGGAGTTGCTTTGCTTTAAGTGGTTACAAATGTTTATTATTTAAAATCTATAAAATGGTAACATTATTATGTAAAAACAGAAAAACCATATGATTCTTTAAAAAAAATTCCCCATAAGAAAATGCTTATCCTTTGACTGCGATATGTTTTTTTATTTTATTTTATTATTTTTGTGTGAGTGTACCATCAAATCAGATCTGACTGGTACCGGAGGAGATTGTCCCTCCTTCCCCGGCAGAGCATCTGGTGGATTTGGACCGTACGCCTCTGGGGAGATATGTATTTTAAAACAGTCCACTTTGATTGAGGATTTACCTGTTTTCTCTGTTAGCCAATCCTTTCCTAAACACTTCAAGCAAGTCTTTATTACTTTTTGTCTAATTGCCATGGAGTCGGAACCAATTTATAGTTACCCTCCAGCAAGCAGGTTTTTAAAGACTTTAAACTGCATGGGAAGAGAATGCCGGTCTTTCTCCCAGGGAGCCACTGGTAGATTCAAGCTCCCTGTCTTAGGGTTGGCAGAGCAAATCCTTACTAATTAGGCCACCAGTGGTCAGTAACAATTTTGAGTTATTAGTGAGTTTCATATTTTTATAAAATATCCCTCTTTCATTTGAGGAATGCTTTTGGTCTTAAAGTCCACATTTATTTAATATGAAAATAATTATAATAGGTATCCTGTTGGGTGACTTATCTTGTTCTTTGTCTTTAAACCTTATAGGATCTCTATATGTTAGCTGCCTCTTGTTAGTATAAGTGGTGTTTCTTTGTTATTATTGTTCGTATCTTAATCACATCCATTTAAAAAGTGAAAATCCGGGAGCTCTGGTGGCCTAGTGGCAAAAAACTACACTGTAATCCCAGAGGTACATGGTTCGAATCCACCAAATGTTTTCCTGGAGAAGGAGGGACAATCTCCTCCTGCACCTGTCAGATCTAATTTGACGGTACACAATAAACTAAAATAAACTTGTTTAAAAAGTGAAAATCTGTATCATCCTTTCTTTTATTTATTTTCATATAATAATACTACTGCTGTATTTTAATTTAAACCTCACAACTATTATTGGCTTTCAATTTTAACTGCCAATTATATATATTTCCTTTTGGCTTTATATATTATTTCTATTTTTCTCCTTCTTTGGAGAGAGTTTTCAACTGTTTTACTAGTGTGTAAACCCCTGATACGTAATTTCAACTCTATAGATTTCTTCTATCAGGATGTTCTGAGAAATATGAACCATCCCTATATATAATAGTGAAATATAGGAATGTTTGGAATAAACTCAATGTTCAATTGAAGGGGACTGGTTAAGGACAGTAAAGTGCAGTTATACAGACTATAAAAAATCAAATTGTAGGGAGCTCTGGTGGCCTAGTGGTAAGGAGCTGCAATTACAATCCCAGAGGTGCACGGTTCAAATCCACCAGATGCTCTGCCGGGGAAGGAGGGACAATCTCCTCCTGTACCAGTCAGATCTGATTTGACGGTACACTTATACAAAAAATAATAAAATAAAATTTAAAAAATTTAAAAAAAATAAAATAAATTAAAAAATCAAATTGTAGAATAATCTAATTCTTGAGTCATTAGCTACCTAGTGCTACCTGAAGAGAAATGCCCAAGTAGGCAGCTTTAGCAAACAGAAATTCACAGTCTCACAGATAGTAGGATAGATGTCCCTGCTTCAATGGGAAGACCTTCTCTCTCTAAGGGCTCTGCGTGAATGTTCTTAAGTCTTTTCAGCTTCTGTTCCTTAGTTCCTTGGTGATCTTCAACTGTATCTTCCGCTCCTCCTTTATCTAACCTTACCTTTATACATCAATGTAATTGATATACCAAGTATACAGCCAAAGTAATTGGTTTAAAACAAATCTAGGCAGCATGCTGGAGCAATGATTTTGTAAATTACTACCTAACTTGAGAGGGACTGGAGAGCTTATGCTAAGTAAACTAACTCAGTCCCATAGAAAAAAATACTGTAGAAGACCACTATTGTAGAATGAGTATGAGGATCCAAGGTGGGGGGGTGAATGCAGAGAGGTGAGGATAGGTGGGGGGAGACAGAGTGGTAATCATAGGGTCGCATAATTTGATGGGTGGAGGGAGGGGTAGGTAAAGGAAATGTGAAAGATCCAGTGTGAAAAACAATGTATATGAACTTTGTAAGTAAACCAGTATAAAATAAAAATTTTATTTAGAACAAATAAGCAAACAAAACCCCCAAACCCAAATCCTACATTGATAAAAGTATGATTAGTAAAAACTAAAGTAGTCCAAGAATATATTCCCAAGTACTGGGGTTTAGGAGTTAACAACTCCTATTTCTGGCGAACACAGTCAGCTCCCAGCAAACTAATAGGAAAATCACAATTTTACAGGTTTCCAAAACACACATTAGTGAGCATAACTACATACTTTTTTAATAAAAACAAAATGTATGTATGTGTCTGCAAAGACATAAATTAAAATGTTAATAATTATTTATAGAAATATGGGTGAATTTCTTTTAATCTTGGAGCATTTTTATGGTTTCTGAACTAAACATGTATCACTTTTATAATTTGAACCAGCAACAAAAACAATGGTGAATGTAATTATAAAAGTGATGGTAATTGTTATGTTTTGCTCTACTAGTACTGATATTACTCTTGTATTACTTGGATATGTTGACACAAATACTCAACATCTGTATTTGTTGAATCATAATCACATTCTGTATTACATAATGCAACCAATGTTTCTTTCAATAAAAAAACAATGTTCAATAGAATATAACAGTTTGTATAAAACTACATTATCAAAAATGATTCTGAGTAATCTCTGATGGGAAGCAGTAACATGCTAATCTTACTTTCTTACTTTAAGAGTTGTAGGTAAATTATCATCTTCTGTAGGATCTAGGTCAAACCAATAATCATCTGGGTCTTCTATTTCTTGTAAACTTTTATGAAATTCTAGCAGTCCTCCATTATATCTACAAGGCATTTGAAAGTAAGATTAGCTGGAATGGAATTCTTTAATTATAATAAATTCCCTAAGAATTCAACAACTAAAGCCAAACAAAACACATTTCCATAAACTGATTCCACATCATAATATACTACAAAATAGAACTGTGCCATAGGATATCCAAGGCAATAGTCCTTACAGACATACTACCACATATCTATACTGCAAAGTAGCTGGTGGCTTCAAACCTCTGAACCTTCAGTTAGGAGCTAGGCACATAATGCCGTATCACCAAAACTGTTCAAATGACAACTCTTTTTGGTTTGTTTTTCGGTATGTCAGATGGTGACAAGCTCTGACATGCTAAAGAAATTCAAAGACGAGGACTCTCACATTTTATCACTAAGATAAAATACAAATGGAATGAGAAGCAATACATGTGGAGGAAAGCTTAAGTGTGAACAGTCAGTTATTAAAAGGATTATTAAATTGGCTAGGTTTTGTTAAGTGTCTTAAAAGCTTTAAGGAAAGCGAATGACAGGTATGGGTCAGCCAACTTATGTAACTAATACAAAGGTATCTGAACCCAGATATGTTGACTCTGAAGCTCATGTTCCTAATGTCTTTGCTATATTGTCTTTCATTGCAATGGCTTAGTAACTCTGATATTGAGTATTCTCAAAAATGTTAAACAAAGTATTTTGTACATTAAAAGATGAAGAAATAAAACAGACCAAGAGAGCATACATATCATGAGCCCGGGCGTCCATGCAAACTTTATTCCTATTTCACCATGCTTAGAGTTAACAGGAAAGACCTACCAAGTACTTTAAATTCTTACCTTTTCTGAGCACATCGAAGTAAACCACGTCCAAAATAAACTAAAGGCATAAAGTTTTCAGAAATTTTACTTTCTTGGATCATTATCTTCATCACTAGAAATTTACTTTCAGCCTCTAAATAATCCTGTAGTGACAAGTCATTTTTTTCTTTTACCGTAAGCAATTATTTCAGTGAAGTTACAGCACTTTTAAGAACAAGTCAAGTCACTCAGTCATTTATTCAAATCTTTGATTCTAGCAAACCCACATGGATTCACAAAGATGATGCACATAATCCATACTGAAAATATTTATTTACAAAAAATGTATTTAATCTTTTTTTAGTAAACATTTCAGAATAAAAATTATAATTCACTAATAAAAAGTTTCAGGGCTGTTGTACATAGTGTTGCTATGAGTCACAAGTGACTCGACAGCACTGGCCAAGTATTATTATATAGGTCAAAATAAAAGGTTTCTTAATGACTACTGGAGCACACTTCTTTATAACTCTCTTTAATATATCTTATTAATTGAGGACAATTCTTCCTATTTTTCCAAATAAGAAGTAAATGACTTCCTAATCAGATACAGTGGAAGGACGAGTGGCATCCACTTCCATAATAACTTGCCTCCGGAAACCCTATGAACCTGGAGAGAGGATGAAAGGCACCCAAGAGTCAAGGACTCTCCTTCAAAGGGTCGCTATGAGTCGCCTGTGACTCGATGGCACTTAACAACAACAACAACAATCAGATACAAAATCCAATTTTAAGGAGGACTAAACTGACTATAGGGAGCTCTTGTGGCAAGAAGCTGTGCTGCAATGCCAAAAGCACACAGTTTAAGGCCACTAGCTCCTCTGTGGTAGGATCGGCAATCTGCTCCCAGAGATTAACTGCCTTTGAAAACCCACCGGAGGGTCAGCTGTGGTTCCAACTTAAGGGTACACAACAACAAACAGACTATAATCAATCTATGTTTGGGAATAAACATCAAGATGACCTATAAAAGAGGCTTCAGTTATGATTAATAAAACAAACATAAAAGTCTTTATACTTTTAGGGGGAAGAAAGAAAAATGCCTCATTAGTTTATTTAAAAATATTCTCTAACACATCACAACAAACAATTAGCATTACATTAAATGATTTACAATAAAGGTATTTTGTAGTAATTAAAATAAGCTTATATTTCTATTTCACTTAATAATATAATATATAATTCTTATCATTCTATTTCACTTAATGAATAAGTCAGATTTACATAATTGTGATTCTGAGTAGAAAGTACTGAACTTGATGGTAGAAAATAGGAAAGAAAATGTAAGAAACCACTAAAGCTTATTAAAAGGCTACTAAATTTTACAAAAGATGCTAAATTTGAAAAGACACTACTAAATCATTTCGTTAACTCCCAGATTTTTACTTATTTGTATTTCATCTTACTCCACAAAAAGGTAAAATTAATATTTTATTAAAGGATATGATTAAATCTAGAGATATTAAGCTACACTAGAAAGTGAATGAAAATGTAATTCATATATGATGAAAAAGCTATTTAAATAATTTTTGTATTACACAAATATTAAGTGTTTAATACATAGTTAAAAATAACTAGGTCTTCAGCTAATATTATCAGTCTCCTATGGTGTATTTTCCATTTCACAGTTTTGGCATAATCACTCAACTGAGAAATGTAGGAGAAAAAGTCAATGATTCATTTCAATTTTTAGAGACTTTCCAAGTTTTCCTTTTCTAATATGAAGCCAGTGAATATACAAAGATTTGGATATACAACAGATGCTACATACCTCTTTCATTCCCCTTTCAGTGAGTGCTACTGCATACAAAAACAGTAGTGTCAAATAATACCCAATGTTAATCTGATGTGCCTAAAAGAAACATACATTTTAACTGGTTATGTAAATTAATCTATTTTTCAGTGTGTCAAGCTTAATTAAACACCCTATTTAACACTTTTTAAAATTTAATATGTAAAAGAAAAAAGACATTTATTAGCAATTATCTAATTACAAGGAAATGTGTCTGGTGGCACTTGGCTGTTAACCCAATGATCTCGCCTCTCTGGCGACTTGTATCCACCTGTGCCCGTGTGGGAGAAAGATCTAACAGTCTCCTTCCATGAAATTTACAGCCACAGAAACCTGCAGGAGGGTCAGCTACGAGTTAGTTCTGGTTCAATGACAATGAGGCAGAGAGAGATCTTAGATAGACTGTATAATGTTTCCAAGGAAAGGGGACGTTGATTCTGACTCACAGTGACCTTGCAGGACAGAGTGAAACTGTCCCGTAGGATCCCCACGGCTGTAAATCTTTATGGAAGCACACTGCCTCATCTTTTGCTCATGGAGTGGCTTGGGGGTTCTAACCATCAACATGCTGGTTACCAGTGGAATTTCTCCATCATGGTATATGAGAGTATGGTCATTAATCCTACAGCAAAACACTAGAATTTAAGAAAATTAAAGGAAATGTCATCAAAATTTGTTACATTAAATTTTCAAAAATTAGCATTCTTCTATACTACCCATTTACCCCCACTTTAAAAATTATGTTTAACTCTTATGTCAATTTTTTTTTTTTACTTTCTACCTGCAGGCTTTGTTATAATAGTACAGAAAGCTTATCTTTCAGTGAGCTTTTTCACTTCTCCAGTAAAAAACTAAAACACTGGGATATTTCCTGTACTGGGCATGCAAAACCAGAGATAAAGTATTAGGGAAGACTAAATAGAAAAAGGGTAAGCATGAGAATAAAGAGGTAACATTAGAAAGGTGTGTGTGTGTGTGTGTGTGTGTGTGTGTGTGTGTGTGCGCGCGTGCGCACGCGCACGCACAAACACGCATTACTAGATAATACAAGTTCTTTTATCTTGATTACAGTGATGGTTATGAAAATATGCATGTGTTAAAACAGCAAAGAATGATATATACTTGTATAAGAAAAAAGTTAATATAGTTGGCCTGATGAGACTATTATCCTTAGAAATTCTACTTTCAAAAGTGACATTAGAAAAAAAAGTGACACTAGACTGGGACCTGGGAATTCAGGTTTGAGGAGAATCCTCACTGCTCCTAACTGAGGACAATAACTTACTTTGTCTACACTGTCCATGCAGAAAACGTAGTTTACACTTGTTTCCTTGAGAGTTTAGAATTTTGGTATGTTACTGGTAAAGGGTACCTATATCATAAACAAAACAAAAAAACCAAAAAACAAACAACCAAAAATCAAATCAGTGATTGCTGATTCTAACTCATATTAACTTACTGGACAGAAAACTGCCTCCTAGATGGCCTTATCTTTCTCCCTGGAAGAGCTAAAAAGTTGGACTTATCAATTGTTTACGCAGCATCTGAGTGCTTACCAACTGCACCACCACAGGGGAACGCTAGGACTCTCTAATGGACTTCTTTCCTGGGAAAAAATATTTTATGTATTGCTGTATTTCCACTTTTCAAAAAAAAGTATATTCTGTGCCACCTCATGACTAGCAGTTGCTTTGTACTATTCAGTCAACTACAACTCATACCCCACCAACAGATGGGAAGCATGTCCTGCCTCTGCCATTCTCACCACCTCTGCCGTGCTCAAGCCCATTTTTGTAGTCACTGTGTCAATCCATCTTGCTGAAAAGTAGAGAGTGTAAAGGCAACCTACACATATTCTTCCAGACTTCACCTGGGTCTTTCCCCCTTATAATCAGATTCATTTTGCTTAAATCCACCCAGGGCAGCAGCGGTCAAGAAATCAAAAGATGTTTCACTAGGAAAAATCTGCTGTCAAGGACTTCTCCACTCAGCATAATGTCTTCTAGGGTCACCCATTTTGTATAGTATCTTGAGTTTTGTTGTTTTTCAGTGCTACATAGTTTTCCATTATGTGACTATACCACATCTTCTCTACCAATTCTTTCATTGATAGACACTTGGGTTGCTTCCAACTCTTTATTATTGTTACCAACACAGCAATAAACATGGGAGTGCATGAATCTGCTTGGGTGGCAGTTCTGGTTTCTTTAGGGTACATTCCCAGTAGTGCAATTGTGGGTCAAATGGTATTTCTATTTACAACTTTTCTGAGAAAGCGCTACACTGCCTTCCATAGTGGTTGCACCATTCTTCACTCCCACCAGCACTGAATAAGGGTTCTAATCTCTCCACAACCCCGCCAGCATTTGTTTGCTGCTCTGTTGAATTTTGCTATTCTTAACTGGGGTGAGATGATATCTCATAGTTGTTTTGATTTGCATCTCTCTTAGAGCTAGGGATTTTGAACATTTCTTCATGTGTTTGTTCACCATCTGAATGTCTTCTTTTTTGAAGTGTCTGTTCATATCCTGTGCCCATTTTACGACTGGGTTATATACCTTTAACTTGTTGAGATGTTGAAGTATTCTGCAAGTTCTAGATATAAGTCCATTATGAGGCACATCTTTACCAAATATTTTTCCCAGTCTGTGGGTTTCATTTTTACCCTCTTGAAGAAGTTTTTTTGATGTGTACAGGGATATGATGATTAGAACGTCCCATTCATCTATTTTATTCTCTCCTGGTTGTAGGGTTTTCAGGATGCTTGGAAGACTGTTCATGTTGTCCATTAGGACTTCCTGAGTTCTTCCAAGCTTTTTTCTGATGAAGTTTATAGTCCTTGGTTTTACTTCTAGGTCCTTGATTCACTTTGCTGAGTGAACTATCCACTTGATCCATTATGCTGATTTAAATATTTCAGTCACAAAGGACAAAAATTGCATAATACTACTGTTATAAAACAGGACTGACATTCGGGATTTGGAAACTAAAAAAAGAGGGGGTAAATAATGAACACTGCACTGGAACAGGTGAGGGAAAGAATTGTTTAAAATGAATGTATGATTAGGTATTATTTGCATGAAAACAGTCCAGAATATGGGGTGCATAGCAAGGTGGACTGGGGTAGGGGTGAATGAGAAAACTGCCCAACAATAAATTTTTTTTAAAGAGAAAAGAGAACTGGGGAGGGGAGGGAGGAAAATGTACAACAAAGAATGAATGGAAATGCAAGTTTCCTGTAAACTTTCATTAAAACACAATAAAAAATTATAAAAAAATATTTCTCCCAAGTACTAAAGAGTAAGGACATTAATTTAAAGACCAATGTGCACCTGATCCAAACCTAAGTACTTTGAATTGCATTGTATCTGAAAATTGGATAAATAATAAGGAAGATCAATAAAAATCCTTATTTTTTTTTAACTAGGCATGTTATCAAGTGGGGCTAACCATTAGCAAAAGACATCATGCTGGGAAAGATAAAGAGTCAGTAAAAGAGAGGATGACCATCAATGAGGTGGACTAACACAGTAACTATAACCATGGCTTGAGCCATTGAGCTCCACAGGATCATGAAGATGGTGAAAGAGCAAGATTTCATCACTCTAAGTTGTACTTATAAAGGCAATGGTTACTGGTGCTTAAAATAGATAAATAATAACTCCAAACAGCAGGAAGGAATAGCAATTACATGATTTATAGAGATATTTGCTGAGATGCAGCTTCTTCACTTTGTTTTCCACCACTAACACAGCTAGAATCTTCAAGTTCTATTAAGGAGAAACCGCAAGACCACAATGAAGGACAAGCTGACCATTCTGCATCACCTATTGCATGCTGGATTTCCTTTGTTGCTATGTGCCGTCAAGTCACCTCCAACCCATAGCAACCATATGTACAACAGCCCTCAACCCTGCTTTATCCTCTGCCAATCTTATTGTCTCTGACACACCTAACTCCATTACCTCAGTCAATGAATCAATCCACTTCATAGAGGGTCTTCCTCTCCTGTGCTGTCCCTCCACCCTTCCAAGCATGAAGTGACTCTCCAAGGACCAGTCTTTCCTTGCAATATGTCCAAAGTACGTCAGATGAAGCTTCAGATTCCTTGCTTCCAAGAAGCAGCCTGGCCTCACCCTCTCTAGGTTGAACTGGTTTTTTTCTCCTAGCAGTCCATGGTATAGTCAATACTCTTCTCCAATAACACTGCTCAAAGGCGTCAATTCTTGTTCTACCATCCCTAGTCATTGTCCAGCTCTCTGGTGCAAAGAAACAGATTGCAAAGACCATGGTCTGTATCAGGTGCACCTTAGTGTCCAGACTGAAATCATTGCTCTTCAATACTTTGGAGAGTTCTCTAACAGCAGACTTTCCCAATGTAATACATTTTTAATTTCCTGGATGTTAGTGCCAAGAGTATTGGTTGTGAAGCAGAGTCTGATATTGCACAGATGATGAGCTGGATCAAGACCCACTTTCCTTCCAAAGAATTTTTCTACTATTTTCCAATAGTTGATTCTCCTGAAACTTGGACAAACATCAACTTATAATGATAAAATGTACTATTTTACTAGAGACTATTTAAAAAGCTTCCGGAGTTCAGGGGCAAAATTCCAAAACACTCAATTTTAAAATTCCTCTTAATTTAAAGTACTTTCACATTGCTTTTTCTTTCTTATTTCCACGGCACATCTGTTACTTTGTTCTGCATTTACCCATCTTCCTTTCAAGTTGGTAACTGGGATTCTGTTTGCAAGGGAAGGCATCAGTTTTCATTTTTTTAAAATAAAAGTTTACATTTGAACTGAAGATACAAAGCCAATCTTTGTTAAATTGTGCTCTTGGATAGAGTCCATTAACATCATAACTTTTGATAACTTTTGCATATTACCATCAGATTTCCAATTTGGTTTTGTATTTATGTGTTTTAATACAGGCAATACTACAGGAGTGTTACGCAATTATAAAATTAATTTTTCTGTATGAAGAGGCTTTTCCATAGGATTTATGACCTGTGTCATAAGCCTTCAGTGTAACAAGACTGTCTTCATATCCTACAG